AAGGTCCGGGCGCGCGGGTGTCACGCTGTAATCCTAAGCTCTCTGGAGGCCGAGGCGGCGAGTTGCTCGACGTGTTCGGAGTTCAAACCAGCCTGAGCAAAGAGCGGAGACCCGTCTTACTATAAAATAGAAACTAATTGGCAACCTAATATTATAGAAAAGAATGAGCCGGCGCATGGTGGCTCATGCCTGTAGTCCAGTACGTTGGGAGGCTGAGACAGAAGGATCGCTTGAGCCCAGGGAGTTTGAGGTTGCTGTGAGGCCAGGGGCTGACGCCACGGCACTCACTCTAGCCTAGGCAACAAAGCGAGAACTCTGCTCTCAAAAAAAAAAAAAAAAAAAAAAAAAAAACATTACATAAAACTTTACCATCTTAATAATTTTAAAGTATACAGTTCAGTAGTGTTAAGTCCAGAACTTTTCCATCTTGTAACACTGAAACTTCATACCTTACTAAACACTAATTCCCTGTCGATAATTCTACTTTTGATATATCATTATGCAATATTTTTCTTTTTTTTTTTTTTTTTTTTTTTTGTGAGACAGAGTCTTACTTGTTGCCCTGGCTCGCTGCTGTGGCATCAGCCTAGCTCACGGCAACCTTAAACTCCTGGGCTCAAGAGATCCTCCTGGCCGGGCGTGGCTGCTCACACCTGTATCCTAGCACTCTGGGAGGCAAGGCGGAAGATCGCTTCAAGGTCAGGAGTTCGAGACTAGCCTAACAAGAGTGAGAACCCCGTCTCTACTAAAAATAGAAAGAAATTAGCTGGACAACTAAAAATATATATAGAAAAAATTAGCTGGGCATGGTAGTGCATGCCTGTAGTCCCAGCTTACTCAGGAGGCTGAGACAGAAGGATTGCTTGAGCCCAGAAGTTTGAGGTTGCTGTGAGCTAGGCTGACACCATAGCACCCTAGCCCAGGCAACAGAGCAAGACTCTGTCTCAAAACGAAAAAAGAGATCCTCTTGCCTCAGCCTTCTAAGTATCTGGGACTACAGCCATGCGTCACCACGCCAGCTCTTTTTTCTGATTTTTAGTTGCCTGGTAATTTTTTATGTTTTTAGTAGAATAGGGTCTCGCTCTTGTTCAGTCTGATCTTTAACTCCTGACCTCAAGCAATCTTCCCATCTCAGCCTCCCAGAGTGACTAGGATACAGTGTGAGCCACCATGTCAGGCTTGCAGAAGGCTTTTGGGATCTATTTCTGGTCTTGCCCTTTTTTTTTTTTTTTAAAGAGACAGGATCTTCTTTTTTGCCCAGGTTGAAGTGCAGTGACACTATCATAATTCACTGCAGCCTCCAACTCCTGGACTCAAGCGATCCTACCTCAGCCTTCTGAGTGCTGGGACCACAGGGACACCACCAAGCCCGTTAATTTTTTAAATTTTTTGTAGAGATGGTCTTGATTGATACCAGTCTCCATTCTCTTGATTCAGATAAGTATACCTTGAGTTTGAAATCCCTGTTTTCCTGGGTTGGTCTGGTAGTGAGGGGACAGGGTACATGCACAGTTTGCAACACAATGGAAAGATTGGTATTTGGAAGATTTGTTAACAACTTAGTAAAGCCCTCTTAATATTAAGGGAGGTTTACTGATTTTATTTTTTCTAGAAACTTAAATGCTGTCTGTGCCACTTGTTTCTTGTTCTCTCCTCTCTCGTTCTTTCTCTATCTCATTATCTTCCTCCTGCCCTCCTTCCCTTCACTCTGTCTGTTGCTTTATCCATTTGGCGGGATAAAACAAGAAAAGAAAAATTATTTCAGATGAATATTTACATTGGGTAAGAAAATTGTTATAGGAAGGCAACTGAAAGAAATATTCTGCTTTCAATAATATACAACAGTTTTAATCTTAATATAGATCTTGCCACCCTCATTTATCCACCCAACTTTTGTCCTCCTTCACGTGGTATGTATTCAGAGATTTAAAATCTATTTGTATAATATTTAAAATTCAGTAAATAGACCGGACGCAGTGGCTCACGCCTGTAATCCTTAGCCCTCTGGGAGGCCGAGGCAGGCGATTGCTCGAGGTCAGGATTTGAAACCAGCCTGAGCAAGAGGCGAGACCCTGTCTCTACTATAAATAGAAAGAAATTAATTGGCCAACTACATATATAGAAAAAATTAGCGCAGGTGGGCATGCCTGTAGTCCCAGTACTTGGGAGGCTGAAGGCAGGAGGATTGCTTGAAGCCAGGAGTTTGAGGTTGCTGAGCTAGGCTGATGCCACAACACTCACTCTAGCCTGGGCAACAAAGCGAGACTCTGTCTCAAAAAAAAAAAAGAAAGAAATTCAGTAAATATATTTAATTCAGATATAAAAACTCAATCTTTGGAATATGGAACTGCTGCTTTCCCTTTTAGAATTGTGGATTACCACCTATTGAGCTTCTCTGGCACTACATTGCTAATTGAGATTACCTATAATGGCATCTCTTAGGCCAGTTCTAGTGGCCATTCTTGATGTTGTCTTTCAACATGTCTGGTGAATGCTCTATCCTTAGTTTTGAAGAAGGAAACCACAGATGTGCTCAATTACTGGTCTGGATTATGACTCTTGCCTACCAAGTGCCTACTTCAGACAGGAGGTGCAGAAACAAAATCCAGGACTTGTCTATGGGAACCCGTTATTCTGTAAGACACCTCGTCATTCTAACTGGAAGACCCTGCCTGCATCCTTTTCCCCCACTAAATTTTTTCTCTGAGATGCTAATTAAGACCAGTCTCATTGTAAGACTTGCTGGGCAGGAGCTGAGACCATAGGAAGAATAGTGCCAGGCAAGAAGTGTTAATTGAGAGATAAATCTGAATCCAGAAGACGCAAATCAGATCATTCTCTAGGGCAGCACAGACACAAATCTGAGTCCCGTGGCTATATTCCAAATGTATAAATCCAGAGAAATGTCTTTATGTAGAAGATATATACACACGAAGCTGAGAAAGCTAATTAAGGCTTAGAATGAAGCACGAGGGGCAAGTTATGCCACCTACCATTCCGAGCCTGACCAGAGTAGCAGGAACATGCTCCATAGAGACTCCTGGGTGTAGGACATGAAATGGGGCAAAACCGTGCTTGTACCAGGGATTTTGTGGTAACATGTCCTGCCAAAGAGGGAGCTTTTCTCTTTTGTCTCCAAAAGTGATATAAGATCTCATTTACTTTTTTAGGCAATTTAAAGCATAGAATTATCTTAAAAATCACAACCAGATGTTTGCAACAGGCAGGGAACAAGTTTATTTTTTCTTAAAAATATGTCTAAGGTTTAATTTGAAAAATAAGTGTTTGCATGGATGCAGTCTTAAATCTATTCTCAGACTCTTCCTTGTTAAACTGTATTATTTTTATTAAAATCTCATTATTTTCCCACTCTGAAAATAGTTTATTGTGTTTTCTGATTATATAGCATATATATACATGTTATTGAACCATGCCATTTCATTATTTTTCTCTTTTCTTCCTTATCTTTGACCTAGATCCCCTCTATTAGAAGTAAATATATGCATATGGGAAAGAGCAGCAGTGGAGAAGGGAACAGGTGAAGTAATGTGTTTTTACCACAATTAAAAAAAAAAAGCAGAAATGATCACTTGGAAGCATAGCCTAGAAATGCTACAGGGAGAGCAGAGGTGTAGAACTGAAGCAGTACAGAGAGAGTAGCAGCCATAGTGCACGGACACCTATCCTTTGATGCTGGGCAAAAGCATGAGCGTGAATTCAAGTGCAACCACTTTATTTGCTGCCATATCATCCTCAATCAATTAATTAACAATAACTTAGTGTTTAACACACAGCAGATGATAAATATTGGTTGGATGAATGAACGAACTGATGAATGAACGAATACATAGCATTTATCAGGGGCCTACCATGGGTCCAGCACTGGTATAGACCACCACTTCTACTCCTGGTTTGGCAGCAGAGAAAAAGGAAAAAGTTGTACTGAAGGAAAGGGGTCCCCCAGCTAGCATAAAAATGATATAGGATGTTATATCCCCCAAGGCAATACTTACAATAGCTGTGAAGTTAAAAGCAAAAATAAGTTAGGTCTTCCTCAATGCTGCTCCTTCCCAGGTTAACTATTGCTATGCCAAACAAGTTTCCATTGTAGAACAAAGACAGGGTTTTGTGGTAGACTAGGAAACCAGATTAAATTTACTCTTTATTTAGCAGCATGTTTTACCCACTGTCCCAAAAAGAGCCATCCCCCCTTTTTTTTGAGACAGAGTCTTGCTTTGTTGCCCAAGCTAGAGGCTAGAGTGCTGTGGTGTCAGCCTAGCTCACAGCAACCTCAATCTCCTGGGCTCAGGAGATCCTTCTGCCTCAGCCTCCCGAGTAGCTGGGACTACAGGCATGCAACACCATGCCTGTAGTATGGTGGCTAATTTTTTCTATATATTTTTAGTTGTCCAATTAATTTCTTTCTATTTTTAGTAAAGACAAGGTCTTGCTCTTGCTCGGGCTGGTTTCGAACTCCTGACCTTGAGCGATCCGTCCACCTCGGACTCCCAGAGTGCTAGGTTCCCTAATCTTAAAAATAAGACCATAAACTGAAGGTTTGTTTTAAATTACCTAAGTCCCTGAAATAGAAATTTATTTTTAGTATTAAAGAGATTAACAATAGTTGTCTCATTATTTTGACTTATCCATATTCAAACTCACCTGCTCAGAAAGTGGCAAACCCATAGAGCTTCTAACAATCTCTACTTAAACCATTAAAAAAGGACTTGTGACAATAAAAATAACATGCATAGGAAAGATCAAAGAGTTGAAAATGCCAATGAGAGACAGAGGCTTTCTGTGATTGAAATATTTCTGTCGATGGTTGAGGAAGAAGATGCTTCTTTTGGGAGCTGAAAAATTAAAATGAGAAAACATTGGTATCCAGATTGGATGTCCAAGTTCTTTGCTATGCTATTTTTGGCTAGTCTAATACAATCAACTGGAGAAAGGGGCCCAAGGAAAAGTAAGGAATTCTCAACCTGTGATCATCTCCAGCCCCAGAGTTAGGACTGAGGACTGAATACAAATACTCTCAAGACCTGACCTTGAAAGGCAGTAGGACAACTTACAAAACTAATCACTCAGTACCAAGTCAGGCCTGTTGTGAATACCCACGCCATTCCATCCCAGCACCCTTGTGCTAGAGACTCTTTGAAGAATGGGCACTATAGGTGAGAGGATGGTACATGTAGAGTTACGTGACTTAAAGGTAGTAACCCACAAGGATGGAAGTAGTAGCCCATAACACTATCCTTCAGATGATCAACACGACTCTACCTTTAGGGGCAGCAGCACAGAGGAAATAATTTCAGGATTTTGACTCACATAACTCATAGTAAAAGCTACAGGTTCTACTCTATAAAATCTATGTACAGCATAGACCCAAGAGGCTGGGACACTTATAGGGAGTGGCAGAACACATGGTCTTCAAAGATCTGCTTCTCTCTTTCTGGGAAGACCTTGTTACAAATCGGACATTTCAAACAAAGGGTCTGTATCCACTGCTGTTCCAAGATGTGATCACAGAAGCCATCAGCAAAGTCTGATTCGCAGATGGGGCATTTCTTGATGGAGAGCTGGGAGGAAGAGCGAAGGGTCAGTATAAATGTAAGTTATTTGTGGCAGAGACACGTTCATCTTGTTTTCCACTGTATCTTCAGTGCCTAGCATCAGTGGATGAAACAGAATGCACATTTGGAGATACTCCTTAGATTAAAAAGGGCAAATATTGCTGAATCGGTCCACATAGCGTCTATCCCAGAAGGGGCACTGGACATCCCTCGTTTGGAGCCACCTGGTTCATATCTCCTTCCTACCTATGCTACCAAACTCAGCTCAGAGGTGGAGGTCTTGGGCTTTCTTCTCCCCACCTCAATAGGCTGGCTCAGCTTTAGGCCCAGAAAAAACTGATCCAGGTGCCCTCTGGCGTTATCAAAATGAACCAGTCTCCCCATGGTTCTCCCATGAACTGGAACATGAAGGAAAATTTTCTCTTTTGATTTGATGTGAGCAATCTCATGAATCCAATACTTACCAGGCTGGGGGAAGAACTTTCCTGGATACCTGGGGAATTAAAAAGATTCCATTAAATAAAAAAATATCATTCCTAGATTCTCCACCTGTGCTCTGGTAGATATCTTCTGTAATTTTCACTGTTCCCTTTCTCCCCACTGCCTGCCTCTTTCCCATATGCATATATTTACTTCTAATAGAGGGGATCTAGGTCAAAGATAAGGAGAAAAGAGAAAAAATAATGAAATGGCATGTTCAATAACCATGTATATATATGCTATATAATCAGAAAACACAATAAACCTATTTTCAGAGTGGGAAAATAAATGAGATTTTAATAAAAATAATAACAGTTTAACAAGGAAAGAGTCTGAGAATAGATTTTAAGACTGCATCCATGCAAACACTTATTTTTCAAATTAAACGCTTAGACATATTTTTAAAGAAAAAATAAACTTGTTCCCCTGCCTGTTGCAAACATCTGGTTGTGATTTTTAAGATAATTCTACTGCTTTAAATTGCCTAAAAAAAGTAAATGAGATCTTATATCACTTTTGGAGACAAAAGAGAAAAGCTCCCTCTTTGGCAAGGACATGTTACCACAAAAGTCCCTGAGTACAAGCACGGTTTTGCCCCCATTTCATGTCCTACCACCCAGGAGTCTCTATGGAGCATGTTCCTGCTACTCTGGGTCAGGCCATCGGAATGGCTAGGTGGCATAACTTGCCCCTCGTGCTTCCATTGCTAAGCCTTAATTAGCTTTCTCAGCTTCGTGTGTATATATCTTCTACATAAAGACATTTCTCTGATTTATACATTTGGAATATAGCCACGGGACTCAATTTGTGTCTGCTGCCTCTAGGAGAATGATCTGATTTGCGTCTTCTGGATTCAGATTTATCTCTCAATTAACACTTCTTGCCTGGCAATCTTTCTATTGGGTCCTCAGCTCCTGCCCAGCAAGTCTTAACAATGAGACTGGTCTTAATTAGCATCTCAGAGAAAAAAAATTTAGTGGGGGAAAAGGATGCAGGCAGGGGTCTTCCAGTTAGAATGACGAGGTTGTCTTACCAGAATACGGGTTCCCATAGACAAGTCCTGGATTTTGTTCTGCACCTTCCTGGTCTGAAGTAGGCACTTGATAGGGCAAAGAGTCATAATCCAGACCCATGTAATTGAGCAATCTGTGGTTCTCCTTCTTCAAAAACTAAGGATAGAGCATTCACAGACATGTTGAAAGACAACATCAAGAATGGCCACTAGGAACTGGCTAAGAGATGCCATTATAGGTAATTCTCAATTAGCAATGTAGTGCCAGAGAAGCTCAATAGGTGGTAATCCACAATTCTTCAAAAGGGAAAGCAGCAGTTTCCATATTCCAAAGATCTGAGTTCTTTATATCTGAATTTAAATATATTTACTGAATTTCTTTTCTTTTTTTTTTTTTTTTGAGACAGAGTCTCGCTTTGTTGCCCAGGCTAGAGTGAGTGAACTTATACTCCCAGCCTAAACCAGAAGAAACCAGCATAAAATGCAGCTCATGCCTCAGGCATTTACTCCTAGTCACTGTCATATAGTGCCCATCAATATACCCTTTCCTCCCTCAGATCCAGCCCCCCCTTTATATGGAAGGCCAGATCCTCTATAATCTCCCACCTTGGACCCAGATTGAATATGTGATCCTAATCCTCATATTCTGTTGTTGACAGGATGAGAACTTTGACTGG